CGATTTCGTGCGTAACGACGGAACGCCGTGCCGGCGTGCCCCCTTGACCGACGCCGTGGCCTCGTCTCCGCCCCGTGTCCCCCTCCTCTCCTCACGGCGTGTCTTGGGAGACTCGAACCGCAGTGCCCGCAGCACGTGGCTGTCGTTTACAACCAGCTTGTTTGCAGTAGTATATCTGAAATATTCAAGAGAAAAATTGTTCAGCTCGTGATTATTAATGAGGGGGGGGGGGGGGAGGCTCATGTGGAGTGATGTCACCCGCTCATGATTATTAATTAGGGGGGGGGCTCATGTGGAGTGATGTCACGCGCGGGACACACACACACACACATTCTTGGCTCATTATATTAGCAAATTGGCCGTGAGTAGACGACGGGGCCGCCGGGCGGCGTGAACATCGCCCGCTATCCGTGGGCCAATTTTGGGAGGCAACGCAACGGTTTGTTTGGCCCCACTTCACCTCCAAGCCCTGATGTCGCCGTATTCACCGGATAATGACACTCCACTGCTGTTTGTTCTAATTTGTTCTGAGATCCACAACAACAACAACATCGCTTGCGATCCACTCGTAGACTGCGATTCACCGTATCGCGCGCGACCTGATTTAAGCGGATACGAAGGAATGCTAACAGCTGAACTGCCACGGAGATTTGGCATTTAGAGGCAATGCAGCGGTGATGTCCGTGTTGGCATGCCGATGCCGTGACTCAATGTGTGAGCTTTGCTCGGAGAGGACAAAAGCCATCCTTCCAATCTCACGACAGGTCCCGGTGTGATGTGGAGCCGTCATGGCGCATTGCACGCATCTCCGTGCTGACAAACAAAGACAAAGATCCCTCGTATAGCCTGTGCAGACTGTTGGGGCAAGTGGACGTTAGCGAGCATCTGAGTGCTCTCAGCCGGCACGTCACACGAGGGGGCGTGGTGGCCGGCACCAGGCCCGCACACACCGTGAATGTTTCATACCAAAACAGCCCGAGTTCTGCCCAGTGAACTCACAAGCGACGCAAGCTTCCACATCAAATGTCATTTTTTTATCCAATAGGCCGATCCCTGCCATCGCAATTTGTATTTTTTCACCACTTTGGGCGAGTGGCGTAGTGTAGGTCCCTAGTCTAAGGAATATATAAAGGCGACCACTCTCTCCACTCTCCCCTCCCCCCCGCCACGTCCATCCCCTCCCTCCCTCCCTCTTCGTAGCTCAGCGCCTGGGCCGCTCTGCCCCTGTGGGCCCTGGCGCAGTTACACCGCCTACACCAGCGGTGGCTAACCGGTGTCTCTTTAGTCCCCCCTCCGTCGAAGGGATCATAACGTAGGACCCACTGTCGCAACAGCGGTAGCAAAGAATAATGAACGTATCCCGTGCTGTGCGGAAATCTGTCAACGTATCCAGTACACGTATATTACATAGAAACACTTGGCTCTTTTGCAGAACTCACGGGTAGATTTTGGCTCTTGGTCTGTTACAGGTTGGCCACCCCTGGCCTAAGACACTCGGACGGCTAACACCGTTGGCGCAGGGTGGCTAAACGACGTGAGCTGCTAAGCTTCCCGCTGTTCGCTCGAGCGGGGGGCCACTTTGTCAGTTTAATTTTGCCACGGCCGAGATAGGTGTTGTGAATACTCCGCGGGCCGAAGGTGACGGTAGAATAATCTCACAGCTGTCCGCAGAATTTGGATTAGACTGAGATATGGCTTTTATTCATTGGCAGGTGAAAGTGCGTTGGCACCCGGGGTTAAAATCGTGTGTATTTTTTTTGTATTACCATTAACTGTGTAAAAAAAGAAATGCCGCGGCAAAATAGCGGTTTTCGTTTTTTGTGGCACATACAAACAAAAATTATATGTAAACTATTTGCTTTTGGAAATAGCGATATTCCAGATGCCATTCGGGAATAGCCAAAAATCGCGGTTAGCAAGTTCGCGAATAACGAGAGAATACCGCACAGCGCACGCACCAAATTTTATCCTGATGCTCCGGTTGAATTGTCCGATAACACCTTGATGTGTAGAGGACCGCAGAGCTTGAGTAAATGTCGGCGCCAGCTCATCGCGTGGCTGCCTTCCTGCCTGCCGGTGGTTCCTCCTCGTGCCGCTGAGTAGTCCTGTTCTTGACAGCGAGCGAATAGCGTGTGGCGTACTACAAGTTTAAACAATAATAGGATTAGATTTAGATTTAAAGCTTTCGTGACTGCAGTAATTCATATTCTTAGCTCTTTCGGTAAAGTCACGTTGAAGGGAAACAATAAAATAATACAAAATATATAAAACAATACAATTCTCACGACGTTTCGACCATAACGCAAACGGTCATCATCAGGTGTGAAAAACCAAATGTTTATTGCCGTTGGTTTTCACACTTGATGATGACCGTTTGTGTTATGGTCGAAACGTCGTGAGAATTTTATTGTTTTATATATATATTTATTGTTTTATTGTTTCCCTTCAACGTGACTTTACCGAAAGAGCTAAGAAAAATAATAGGATTATTACCATTATTATTTAGCGTGATTGGTACTGGCTGTCTGGGTATAATAGGTGTTATAGAGTCGGGCTTAATGGTGGCCAGGTGATAGTACAAGCAACAGATTATTGATTCCATCTGTGTGGATATCGAGTGCAGTCTCCTCGCACACCATGCTGAGCTGTAACTTTGCACTCCAGCTTCCTCGCCTTAGCACCACACCATCGCGTAAACGGCCAAACAGCTCGAGGCACGACGCGCCTCAAAGAGAATATCGAGGCTCACTGATGCGTTCCTGGGTTATTGTGAATTGCGCCAGTAACAAATACACCGCATTGCATTGCTTGGAAGTTCGCCTTGGTTCCAAACGCAAGCGTACGTCACCGGTGGCGAGATGTCACCCACCTCGCCAGGTATACAGGAGTTCCGTGGGTTCGATCCCGACGCTGACGCCTGCTGCTGCCGCCTTTATATTTGGGGTTTGCGTGTTCTCCCCGTGGTCGCGCGCATCTTTGTCTTTGCCGCGGACCCATCGTGTGGTCAGCAGCGACGCCTGGTGGGAGGTTTGGTGAGACAATGCCACAGAGGAGGCCGTCTCTGGCGCAGGACAATCAGTCCCACGGACAATGCGTATACATTGTCAGAGCACGTTTGGCTGCACGTTTGATGACACGCGTGTGTGGTTAATGCAAACTTGATGTGTTGCAGTAGGTGTAGATTTGGTGCTTCAACATATTAACACCTCCTGGTTTTTTGTTTTTGCCGGAATGGGTAAAAATGTGTTTTTATATTATTATCGAGTGGAAGTTTTTTCTTCTTTTCTTCTTCGAACCTTTGATGTGCACGACGATTCGCCCTTTCGCGATCCGTGGGTGTCACAAACCGTTTTAAGAAATCGATTATTTGATTTAGCATCGCGAAACAAATGGCTGCAGTTGGTTGATACAATAAAATAAAAACTCGACACATCAGTCAATAACAGAGCGGCCTTAATAGCAAAACATAATAATCCATCACATTTTTAAACAAAACAAAAAAAAACACCGCCCAGAAAGTAACATATAAAAAAAGGAAGATCATAGAAAATAATTGCCGATACTGTATATACATATTTCCATTTAACGAAGTTGTTATTTAGGAATGTCTTGACTTGTTATTTCTGCATAGGGGTGGATTTATCGGCATTCCAGTGTCAGCAGAGGGTCAAGCAAGCACATCACACAGCACACACGTATGATTACACAGGCATAGATGCTTACACACGGCGATTCGGCGAACTAGGATAATCGATATTTATCGGTTAACCGGCGCATAACTGACCCACACTTCACAGCACTGAAACGGTCATACATCATCATATATCTGTCTCTCCACATCAATACAACATTTTTTTTATACACATCCCACTGGCTCCACCTCCTTCTGAGAGTGCGTACTTTCAGCAGCGTTGACTCAATTCAAGCAAACTCTGGAGCGGAGTGAGGCTTGCTTGAATCAATCGTTCTGGTGAACTTACAGATATGTTTTTTTGTTTGTTTGACTATTCTCTTAATTGTACCAGGTAAGGCCCACCGAGCTGATCAGCTCTTTTTTTTTCTTTCTCAGAAGCGACCCGATTATCGCAAACGATAGCTCAACGAAGTGGCTTATTGTCATGTGAAACATAACAGCAGCCAAATCCTCCAAGCGCAACGTTGATTCTTAATGCTGAGCGGAAACAAACCCCGGAGACAATTCCACGCGATCACGCGGAGACCTTTGTTTGTTTTCAAATAGCCGTTCGGCTGCATATTGGCTTGGGGTCATTTTTCGGCCATTACACTTGTAAGGATATTCCTTCCTCAATGCAAGAAACGTAGGAAGCGTGCGACTATTACAACTTAAATTCGTGCCGTTAATTACTGACCCATTGGATTCTCCCGGTTCTGTCCTCAGCAGAGTAAACGCTTGCATTGAGGGTCTTTCACTTGAACTCCATCAACGACGGAGCAACATTTGAATGGAATGAAACTCCGCTGCTGATGGAGACACGCATGGATGGAGTAGGATGCAGTGCTCGTGTGGGGTAATAACTTAGATGGACACTCACAACGATGATGATGACTTACCTGTCAACCCCTTATCAGTGCCCTACCTTATTACAGAACAATTCAGACCTTATTGGTCACCCCGTGCCCCTTATAAATCTCAACGTTCATCCTACAAAGTCCCATCACAAGGGAGAAACACAAATATAATTATTTTATGCCCGTATTGAAACGGCTGTACGCCGTATGGACCTGAAAACTCAATTTCCCCCGTACAAGAATAACGAGAGGTAAACCGTACGGGTTGTCGGGTATGTGACGATGGTGACGATGATGGTGTTGGAGACACTGGTGATGACCACGGACGACCAGGACGATGCGAGTGATCCCGACGATGCGGGCGATGACAACGGCGGTAAACGATTGCGACGATGATGATGATGGTGGTGGTGGCGACGGTGACGATGATCATGGCAATGACGAGACGACGGCGTTGTGGATGCGTGCAGGTGTGCGCCCTTCAATGCGAGGGAGCTCGTGCCAAGGGGCTCGAGTGGATCGGCTGTGGCCCGGAGCACAGCCTCGATGCATCCCACGCGGGGGCATCCGGCAATCTGCTGGCAGGTGGCGGCGAGGGAAACGGCGGTGGCGAGGACGACGAGGAGGAAACGGTGGCCGGAACCTACGGCCATTACGAGGGCGACGCTTACATGAGGAACGGCGACGATCTAGATGGAGGTGACGCTGCTGCTGCTGCTGGCGGCGTTGGTGGTGGTGGTGGCAATGGCGGTGGTGTCAGCGACGACGACGATGACAAAGAGCTGGCGGGCGCTCTCAATCATTTGCTGTATCGCGTAGCGAGCTCGCTGCAGGAGGATCGCGATCTTCAGCAGCAGCAGCAGCGTGCCGAACCGTCGAGCTTGTGGAAGCGATATGGGGGCTTCGTGCGCTACAGCAGAAGAGGCGGCGGCGGTGGTGGCGCAGAGGACGACGCCTCCTCCTCCTCCTCCAGACGCCGGCGCTACGGGGGGTTCCTGCGCTTCGAGAAGAGCTCGGAGGGGGGAGGCGCGGCGGCCGTCGCGCAGGGAGGAAGAGCCGGCGGCACCCCGGGACTCCCGGAGTCTCCCGAAGACGGCCCGCAGAAGCGCTACGCCGGCTTCATGAGATACCAGAGGACGCTGGAGTCGGACGCAGACCCGGGGACGATCGACGTGGAGGAGGAGCAGCAGCAGCAGCAGGAGGAGGAGGACGCAGACGAGGAGGAGGAGGAGGACGCGGCGGGGCCTCGCAAACGCTACGGCGGCTTTGTCCGCTACAACAGGGGCGGCGTGCAGAAGAGGTACGGCGGCTTCCTGCGCTACGCCAAGGCGCCCGGGTGGGGAGGAGACGACGGGGGCGACTTGCCGGACCTCCGTAAGCGCTACGGGGGTTTCATCCGCTACAGGAAGGGCGACCTGCAGAAGAGGTACGGCGGCTTCCAGCGGTACAGCCGGGCGCCCGCGGGGGGCGACGGTGCGGCGGGGGAAGGCGACGGGCGGGAGAGGCGCTACGGGGGATTCCAGCGGTTCGCCAAGGGGGTGGAGGCGGAGAGCGCCGGCTACGACGGGGAGAGGGGCGGGGGAGGCGGCGGAGTCGACGACGGCCGGAGCGAACGCAGAAGCGCGCAGAAGCGCTACGGGGGCTTCATCCGCTACGAGCGGTCGACTGACGAGGTCGAGGCCGCCCGCGCCGACGACGGCGATCGGCAGGGCGGGTTCATAGCGGCCAACGCGGCCACGTCCCAGTAGCTGGCGGTTTTATTTAATTTATTTTTCATTTATTTCTCATGGCACCTTCATTGTCCCATCGCTCCTCTCATTTATCTCCATGGTGCCCCCCCTCCCCATCCTTCTCCCCCCCCCCCCCCGCCTGACATTGTGGAAGATCGCCGCTCAGTCATTCTCTGTTTGAGGTCACCTTTTCACTTTTGCACCCAGCTCGTGCTGCAGCATCTCGCGTTCCTCTTGCACGCGAGCACGAGTGAGAGCTGCTGCAGATGAATTCGACCAGCACGTGGTTACGTGGCACGGATGATCCACAGCGCTGAGCCCAGAAACGCTGAGGGTCATGGGGTTGATTCCTGGTTTCAGCCGCCAGTGGCTGAACAACGAGCCGTATGAGTTTGATTTTGAAAGGCGCATGACTTTACAGGTTAATATCTCAATTTGCCTATTGGAAAAAAAGACATCTTCCATTATATTTTAAAGCGATATCCACCACCCGTGCTGTTATGTAACCGGATCCCAAATGACATATTTACGGACGGAGAAAAATGTCCATTTCGTCTTTATTAGGGGCACTTGAAATGCGCCATGCTTTTCCATAATGCAGTCAAAGTAGATTATTATAGCTAGGCATATGAGCAGGTCTGTGTCTGTCCAGGTCAGAGTGTTTTAATAAACACGACTCAACGTTCAAATCAAACATCACCAACACTTATACTAAACTCACCACACAGATCACAAACACCAATACTAAACTCAGCACGCAGATCACCAATACTAAACTCACCACGCAGATCATCAACACCAATACTAAACTCACTACGCAGATCATCAACACCAATACTAAACTCACCACGCAGATCATCAACACCAATACTAAACTCACCACACAGATCATCAACACCAATACTAAACTCACCACGCAGATCATCAACACCAATACTAAACTCACCGCACAGATCATCAACACCAACACTAAACTCATCACACAGATCATCAATACCAATACTAAACTCACCACGCAGATCACCAACACCAATACTAAACTCATCACACAGATCATCATCACCAATACTAAACTCACCACACAGATCATCATCACCAATACTAAACTCACCACACAGATCATCAACACCAATACTAAACTCACCACGCAGATCACCAACACCAATACTAAACTCACCACGCAAATCATCAATACTAAACTCACCACGCAGATCATCAACACCAATACTAAACTCACCACGCAGATCATCAACACCAATACTAAGCTCACCACGCAGATCATCAACACCAATACTAAACTCACCACGCAGATCATCAACACCAATACTAAACTCACCACGCAGATCATCAACACCAATACTAAGCTCACCACGCAGATCATCAACACCAATACTAAACTCACCACGCAGATCATCAACACCAATACTAAGCTCACCACGCAGATCATCAACACCAATACTAAACTCACCACGCAGATCATCAACACCAATACTAAACTCACTACGCAGATCATCAACACCAATACTAAACTCACCACACAGATCACCAACACCAATACTAAACTCACCACACAGATCATCAATACCAATTATAAACTCAGTACACAGCTCAGTAATATCAATGATCAACTCACCACACAAATAACCAATAATAAGGCCCACATCTGGATATATTTTGGACAAGATTGGCAACCAACTACCTTAAAAATAAATACATTGTAGAAATTAAACTAACAGAGTGATACGTATCGCGTACCAGTGCGAATGCTCATGAGGTCGGCGAATCCATCAAACTACATAGAGCCTCCTTAAATTGACTGGCTGTTGCAGCGAGAGTTCGTATTGAGATCGAGACCTTCCCCGTGACGCATTGTTTATGAGAATCGGTCCAGCGGTTCAGGACGAGGAAGCACTGATTGGGACATTTCGACGTAGAAATTTAGCCGGAAATGAATGAGTCAACAGTCGTCCGTACAGGTTTCCCGCTATCCACGGATCAAATGAATCGATTGGTGGTGACCCGGGTCACCATCGTGACCCGGGGGTGCCAAAACCTCCATAACTCCGAAACCAGAAGGTCTATGAAGACGGGAGATGTCACTGAGCCGGATACGCACGCAAAACACCCATAAAAAAGGGCGGCTGCTGGGGATTTGTGCGTTACAACGGCTGTTTATTGCTTGTTTTGAAAGTACATCAGGATGCTGGTCTGGTCATTCCCCAGCACGTTCTGCTTCTTACGGGGGCGGCCACCCCCCTTGTCTTTGGGAGCGAGACCACTTGGAGGCAATGGCGCACCGGGCGCTCTCTCGGTACGGCCGGCGGTCACGGTCGTGCTGGCGGGATCGACATCGTCGTCCTCATCATCGCTCCCAGCGTTGCCCTCCGGCAGGACAGGGTGGTAGTACCAGCGATGCTCCCAGAAAAAAAAAAAAACCTTAAACTATGCACGGCCCAACAATATTTTGCGGTGACCCGGGGCTACCGCCAATCGATTCAAATGTGCGGACCACGAGGAAACCCACCGTTGATTGAGAATGTTTTGCAAAAACAGCAACCCCCCCCACCTAATTCGTTTCTCCACCGGCGATGATGAACAACTGAGGTTTTCGTGTGAAGGCTGGAGGACGTGAGGGTTAGAGGTTGGAGTCGCTCGATGCCCACCTTCTCCCATTTCTCGTCACCTGCCTCCCACGTCCGACTGAAATCCCTCTCTGCAAAATAATAAATAAAAAAGCTCCCTCTGATCGGCTGGTTAAGACAACCAAATAGGAGGAGGCATTGTATTCCGAACCCGCACACCTGCCTGCAACGTGCACCACACAACGACGTGACGAGGTGCCTGGCGTAAGCGAACAACGTGTTTACGCAACTCTCCGTATATTTGTAATAATAATAATGACGACGACAATACTACTACTAATTATTACGATTTACAGCACTTTGCCGGTCCACCTGCTGGATGGAAGCCAACCCCAAGCAGTGTGCAGAGCGCAGATTAATATTCTTTGGGTCTTTCGGTAAAGTCACGTCGATAGGTTCAAAGAAAATAGAAAAATAACAAGACCTCCCACCTGGTGACGACCGCTTGTGCTGCGATCGAAACGTCGTAGTTTTTTTTTTCTTTGAGCCCATCTACGTGACTTTACCGAAAGACCCAGAGAATATGAATTCCTGTGGTCACGACAGCTTTAAGTCAAGATTTAAAGCACGGATCGTTAGGACGGACACACTTTGCCGCGGTGGTGGGCGCGGGTTAGTGAAGGGAGGCGCCCCACGACCGGTTCAAGACATCACTCGCCACTGATGTTAGCCGTGACCGGGAATCGACCGTACAATACTCATTTACAAATGACCGCGTCGCTCTCAATAATCGCTCATCATCGCGAATAACTTGGTGAAATAATGCGTCTGGCTACGCTCCAAAGGGGCGACTGAGAGTTCACATTTTAAGGAGCCGCGTTTATAAGACACCAACGCAACAACCGCTGCACACTAAATATCTTCCCAGTAACGTTATTATGGTGATGTTCAGCCATGGTCCATCCACTGCTGGTTGAAGGTCTCTCTCCACGCCGTCACATCTATCACGTTCTGCTTTTAGTGCGTTCAGTTCGCCTTCATTACCCCGCGTCTCCCATCAGCGTGGTTGGCTTACTTGACTCCGCGAAAGACGTGCAACGTGAGTCCGTCCGTACAAACGCACCTACGATGGAACAATCGGTCGCGTGTCTGTGCATGAAATGATTCCATCACTCCGTCTCCACGGTGGTTTCGCCCCTCGCAGACCCCGTTCACTCCTTTGGCTGATTTATCGTCGTCGTTAGCCTCGACCATTGTCCATTGTTCCTTCTTGCGGGTTGTCCTGAACGTGGCGTCTCTCCTCATTTAGTTCTCTCACGATCCGTGGTGCCCCTCAACCCCCCCCCCCCCATTTATCTCCCTGTAATTCCAAGCATGCATCTCACCAAAACTTCTTTGCGCACTTTTCATGAATTGGCTGAATGACATCTTTTGGCATATAGAGGACTGCAGAGCGTGGGTAATCGTTGGTGCCAGCTCACTGCGTGGCTGCCGACTTCCAGCTCGTCTGTGGCTCCTCGGCGATTGTGGAGATGTAATTTGCATGAAAGACGCAATGTAAAACGAAACACTATATTCAGCGTTTGTTCCATAGTTGTGTTGAATCAATAAACAAACAAAAAAATACATGCTGTCTACATTTGACACGTGGCTCTGCATAAATCATTGCCGAACCAAAAAAAATGAAAGATTCCGTGGTGAAAATTATTTTTTGTTCCCAAAAATGTTTGCAAACTCAATTCGTGAGCTTGCCATTCAAAGGCATATGTTCAGAAATCCCACTCAAGTGTATTGGCATGAGCAGACGGCAAGGCAAAGACTCCCCGTATAGCCTTTAACGCGCTGTTGGAGCAAGTGCTGTTAGCCAGCACCTATGAAGGTGGGCACAGCACACAAGGGGTGGTGAATGGCCAACACCACGTCCCAGTCAACCTTTGTCTCCCCGGTAATGATGTTTGCACACCGTACCGGGAACTAATTTACGGCTCAGTCGATGTAGCAGAGGCCCAGGGAGCGGTTTAAATATTCGCCACTGTCATTGGTCGTGGGAGGGAATCGAAAACGGGGAGTCGCCTAGGCCCGTAGCGCAGTGCGCTAATCACTGCACCACCGCTCCCCCCCCACACACACACACGTGCACGAGCTGTTCTAATTGAAACGCCACTCCCGTTGCAGCATTCGGTGTGAAGGTTAAATCTGTCTGGATCAAAATGGGAGTGGCTCTTTTGATTTGTGTTGTTGTTGTTGTTCAAAGCTGACTTTATTTTTTTTTGCAATTTAAACGCCCTCCCGGAACGCTTGTCAGGATGTGCCGTTGAGCTGTGCGCAGTGTTGTAAATATATTTCGTGAGTGTGGCTGACGTTGCCCGTCGACTGTGTTTGCGTGTTCGTGTCGTTCGCCGTCGCTTAGTTCGTAGGCAATCCGAATGTCGTGTTCGCTCGCCAATGGGTCTATTTTACAGATGTGACAATTCCTGGTGAATAAAGTGACGCTTTTGCCTGAATGGTTCACTCGAGCTAGTTTTGTTGTTGTTTGTTGTTGTATTGGTGAATGCAACGTTTTTTTGAGCGACAAGAAAAACACACCTGGGTTCGATTCCCGACTCGGGCGCGTCTCTTCCGTGCAGTTTGTAAATTCTCCACCCCCCTTTGTTCTGCAATGGGTTTCCTTCCACATCTGAAACCAAACAAACAAGCAACATACCATGATAACTGCTATTGGCAAGCATGAAAAAAAGTCATCCCAATGGCGACATTAACGGAAAATGACACTCAATTTGAAGTACCAACAGAGCAACACGGCATCCGATTACACACAAATTGTCGGGATTGTCTCGAGAAAAAGTCTGGAGGCTCACAGTTGAGGCCTTGCTGGCTCTACAAGCGTACCAAGTTGATGAGTCTCGTGTTCACGACACACTGACATCCTTGGGCGCAGATCAGACAAACTTAATAGCGCGTCCACACAAGGAATATGTGGTATGATAACTCGCAATTCCGCAATTGGAGGGAGGGTGGGAGGTGTTGATTTTCATTTGTCACGACGTATGTGTTAAAATGTTACACCGCTGGGAAGGAACGAGTAGCTAACACACGTGCACGCACTGCAACTGTGTAAAATACATTTAATGAGAAAAAACAAATATTAAATGGCCGTGAGCTTCATAAGGTTTCCATTAGTGCCAATAAAAAAAAACATTATTTTACCGACCTTCATTCCAAGGCACCACAGGG